GGACATGCCAACCGATCCAGTTTTACATCGTGTGTGCGAATGCAGGTGGAAATTTTGCTGGCTTTTACAAGGGCCTGCTAAGAGACAGGGAATTCCTTGCCACCCGCTGTATGGATCCAACTGCTGCAAGAGGGCAACATTTGTGCAACTGGTGCTAAGCAACGCGAGGGAATGAATATGCCTGGGGGTCCTTGAAACTAACACCAATGGACCTTTTTTCAAGCCCTACCTGTGGGAGGGGGAAGGAAGCCGGGTGGAAAATTTAAACCTCAGCTGCTTACGCACAGTGGTGTGGATCTGGATCGGGACCTCACACACTTTCTGGAAGTAGGAAAAAGGGAGAGGACTGATAGCAGGCTCTCCGTCCAGTCAATGCGAAGCTTCGTTCTCCGGAACATTCAGGGGCATCACCAAGTTCATGTATGGGCTGCTTTCATCCCCGTGTGAGCAGTTTCCCCTCTCCTGCTAGAATGTGCCCTATGATATGATGCACGAACACCTATTTCATGTATACAATGTTCTGGCTCACGGCAGCAGGAGAATTCTTACATTTTGCTTCCCCTTCCCTCCCCACTGCGTCTGTGCACGCATGTGTGTGCACGTGTTTTGGTGATTTATACGCAAACAATACACAATGTAGAGTTGCGAAGCTGCAACGTTTCAGGAGAAAAGGTGCACGGGCTGGGTTGCTCTGAGGGCTCCAATCCAGAATAAGATTTCTGGCATTCTCGAGTCTTTATTCAATCATGTTTGTTGTGATTTTATGCTCTTCTTTTCTTATGCTATTTTAATTGTATTATTTTAGCCATGTTACTTATCTTTTTTATTGTAACGGCTGCCCAGAGACCATGATGCTAACGGGCAGCTTTCAGGCAAATCCAGTAAATAAATACAAGTGTCTGATGGCACAGGAAGAACGATGATCGTATTGGCTCATCGTTGTCCTCCTGCAAAGCTCCCCACTTGGGTGGGGGGGGGTGCTCAGCCTCCTCCTCTGTGGGGCAGTCCCTCTCCTCTCAGGTATCTGGCACTCACCCCCTTTTGTGGTACAGGCCTGGCAGGAAATGGCTATCACCCCCTGCTGGAGGCCATGGTTCTTCCTCCTTGGAGGGCATGACAGATGCTGCGTGGAGCAGAGGGAAACACTGCGACAGGAGGGTACTTTGGTTAGGAGGCGTTAGTGCTGCCCACAGAGAAGAGTGTCCTTAGGCATCCGACCAGAGGAGCGGTCCTCGAGGCGGACTTCCCCTGGCGGGGGGCAGAGCTCAGAGGTGGCCATCTGCGCGTGGCTTTCCAGACTCCAATTCAGGGCATCGGGTGCAAGAAGCAGCCCTGCACTCAAGTGGAATCTCTGCATGTTGTACCCCCTCCTCAAAGGCTGTGGGGCTCGTGCGCAAAGCATGGGGCAGAGAGCGAGGGGCGTGGCCAGCCCTGTGACACTTCTCCCCGCCGGCTCCGAGAACAGCTGCGATCAACCTTCTCCGCAAACCAACTCGAAGACCTAAGTGGCTGGCGTACGGAATCAAATTCTGGAAAAGGAAATGAAACCAAATGAGTGCACGGGAAGTCTCCGTGCATTTCCTCCTCGTCGTGAGACCAGAATCAAACTGTCACTTGCACATAAGAGAGGCATTTTGTTCTCCCTTGACAAGCTTAAATCGACTCAGGGAGTTTCAGTGAGACTCACCTGAATTTCTGTGAATCCAGTGGGTGCTTTGATCCTGTTAAAAAATAGGCTTAAAAGGGCTGAGAGGCAATTGGTGAGTTACAGCTGAGTGGCAATTCGATGCCATTTGTATGTTCTGGCAAAGTTCAGAAGTCTGGGCATATATATAAATATATGAGATAATGTTCTGGCTGCAAACAGTAAACTAAAGGTGCTGTCCCTACGCAAGAAGCAAACAGGGTTGCTAGGAAACTGAGGACGAAGGCTGCAAAGCTGATTCCTCAATTAGATGAAAGCACTGATGCTGTTTTTCAAGCAGGAAAATTCAGGAAATTTCTTCCGAAGAAAGCTGAGCCCGGTGCACTCATCATCCCCTCACTGGTAGGAACTGGAGAAAAGGTTAGCAATTCAGGAAGCTGTCCAGGTACCCGGAAGGTTTGGCGTATTTATTGGCACGATGAGAGAGAGCTGGACCAACATGGTGAAAAATGGGGAGCAAAAGGGTGCAGTGAGGATGGCTTTGCTCAACGTGGCGCCTTCCAGATGCGAGGGACTACAAACCCCACTGACTTTGCTGGCCAAGGATGATGCAGGTTGTAGTCTGAGCCAGCTGGCGGGCGCTAGGCCGAAGAGGCCATAGTAGGGACAGAAACAGCACTCCTTCACACTCTGCCACTGGAGGCCCAGCTAGCTTCATCTCTATCAATGCGGGGACAGGGAAGTACAGGAAATTTCATTCGGGCCGGGCTTTTATTTTATTTTATTTTATTTTATTTTATTTTATTTTATTTTATTTTATTTTATTTAGGCTTGCACTGTCCTGTGTGCAGATTTGGTCTGGATTTGATTTTAAATGAAACAGGGTGATTCCTTATTCATACTTCTTTCTAACTGATGTGTTCCCATGGATGCACTAATTAAGGGGCAGTCACTCAGTCTTCTGTTATGAACTGCAATCACTCTTTGGCATGGCACCAGCTTTGCCTGCAGCGCCCAGCCCCAGGCTGAATTCCTGGCATATCCAGTGACAAGATCCTGGGTTGCAGAAAAAGTCCCGGAAGAGTCCGAGGCCGCCTCGGGGCAGCAGGATCAGGTGCTTCCGAGCCAAGGTCTGAGCCAGAGCTGGTGGACCTCCATTCAAGGCCAGGAGCATGGAGGAAGTCAGCCAGCAGGGTCAAAGGCAAGGCTAGACACACTTGGCCACCTCCAGGGTCTCACCACCGGGAAGAGCCCCTTGGCTGCTCTTGGACCCCGGGTGTTCACCAACTCCCATTCTGATGCAGAAAAAAGCCAGTGGTGGTGAAGGGAAGATGCTTCCGCCACTGCTGTGGACAAGCTCTCGGACTCTCTGCCAGCCAAGCAGTTGAGGGGCAGCCAGGACGGCAAAGAGGATGACAAACAAGAAGCCAAGGGCTGCACAAAGGTCTCTCACTTGGGGGGGGGGTTATTTATTTATCTCATTTTTATAGCGCTCAGTCGTTGAGGCCCTCTGAGTGGTTAACAAAAGCTAAGAAAAAGTTTACAACTCACACACCCACACGCAAGCGAAAAGTGACTCAGAGCAACCAAGCGACGATCGCAATTGCAATTGAATCAGCATGCAGGTGTAGCAGCAGGACAGAATCACATGCAACGTTCTGGAAAATGACGTTTGGAAATTCAATAAGAATAAGAAGTTCTTCGCCGGGTGCTGCAAAGAACGCCATGCAGGTGCCACGTGGACCTCCTTGCAAAGCTCATTTAACCACCAAGGTGCCCGACCGCCCTTTGAGATCTGCGGGAGAGTCCCTTCTCCGGGAACCCTCCATGAAAGAAATTAGGAGAGTAAGTACCCGGAGGAGGGCTTTCTCTGCGGTGGCGCCCAACCTATGGAATTCACTCCCCAAAGAGGTCTGTCTGGCACCGTCGTTACTGGTTTTTCGGCGCCAGGTAAAGACCTTTTTATTTAAACATCATTTCAATTGTTAAAACATATGATCTGGCCTGGGCAACTTCTTCTTCCTTCTCTTTCTCCTCCTATATTTTTATTTTATACTGATAATTTTAATTTTGTATTTGTAAATCAATGTATTTTTTTGTATTTTTATATTTAATGGTAATTTATTATGTACTATTGTATTTCAATGTATTTTATCATGTTGTAAGCCGCCCCGAGGTTTCGGCAAGGGGCGGCATAGAAATGTTATAATAATAAAAAATAATAATAATAACCGAAAAGGCCCTCTACCAATAACAAGCTGCCTCACTTCCTTTGAAAGAGGCTCCCAAAGAAGTACCTGCAAACATGACTTCAGGGTCCAGATATGTACTATTTATTTATTTATTCGATTTCTATCTCACCCATTTGACAAAATGGCTCTCTAATACAATCTAATAAATTTAATAAAAATCTAAATAATAATACACGGCATTCCATAATGCGGGTTGGGGAAATCAGTGTACTTTCGGTCCATGTTAGTTTTACATGTGTTCACACCTAAGTCCTTCTACCTTTCTGGTTAGTCTGCAATGAAAAAACACCACTCAAATTCACATTTCGCTAAGTGTTGAAATATGCCCTTTTACATACAATTTCCCTCCAAGTATGCATATCAGACCTATTTTGATTTTTTGAGCCAAAACACGTGCCAGGAGATTTGGGAAACACGAAAATAACAATATTCCAATTCTCATAGTCATCTGGAATGCATTTCTCATTTTCATTTCATGTCAGTTGACATCTCTATCCCATCCCACAGCTTTTAGACTCTCTGGGCGGTATGTGCATACCATTTTGAAATGCATAATAAAACAGTACACTAAAATCCAAAACAAATAATACATAATACAATGAGTCAAAAGGAAAAATACAGCAATATTAAGGAAGAATATAAAATATGAAATGATATCTAATAACAACAATAGCAGGCAATGGTGAAGGCAAGCAAGTGTAGGTGTCTAGATCAGGCCAGGAGACGCTGGACTTGGGCACAACGGACTTCCTCAGGTAGCCCCCTCAGAACGGCCACAACTGCTGAGCCCATTGTGGGAATTCCTCCCTTTCCACTTCCAAAGTGTTTTCAGCCAATAATTACTGATCCAAGGAAAAAACACATCCTTGGCTTATGTTTGCCACTGGTCACCTTTCCTTTTGTTGGGCTTACCTGACGAGTGAGGGGCATTTTTGTTGCCCTCCTTAGAAAGGGTCCAGCGGAGGGCAGCGGAAATGACCCAAGGTCTGGAAACACAGCCCTGTGAGGAGAGACTGAGGGAGCTGGGCATGTTTAGCCTTGAGAAGAGAAGGCTGAAGGGGGACATGAGATCCCTCTAGAAGTCCCTCAAAGAGGAAGGTCAAGATCTGTCATGCCTGATGCCCTGACAGAGGCAGCACTTCGCGAGGAGGATTTATGCTTGAGACTCTGTAGCCAAATGTCTCTCCCACAGCCTGGCTTGGGAATGGCCGAACAGATAGCCATACCTCGCCCTGACCCTTTACCCATTGAGCAAACAGCCGAACCTATGTCAGACCAAGGGAGCTCTGAGAGAAAAGAGAAAATCATCAAAATCACTGGAAATCTATGGTGTGTTTCCTACTTACTTGGTGGCGTCCCTTCTCCCTCTTGGACAACAGTAAGCGCAGTAACAGAATTTACCCAGCTGGCTTCAACATGGCAAAGGGAACCTCAGCCTTCCCAACCTTCCAGATGGTTTGGACTACAGCTCCCAGCTTTCCTGACCATTGGCCATGCCCCTGGGACTGAGGAGATCTGAAGCCTAAAGCCTCTAGGGAGAAGTGGTCTGGGGAAGGCTGCAACATCTGGACACTCAGCAGCTGGCATGACTTGCAGCCGTGTGGCAAGAGGCTACCCCACCCCCGGCGTCACTTCCTTAAAACACTGGATTGGCTACTGCTGGACTACCCGGATTGGCCTCAGTGGCCACCGACCATGCAGAAGTAGCCTTAGTGCACCTCTTAAGTCTCGGTCTGTAGGCATTTAGGGCCAAGGGGACCCCGGGGGAAATGTCAGCCGCGGCAGCCTGCAGACAGGTTCCTTTAGCAATGACCGTCCAGTGGGTTCATTAAGCATTAATGCGTTGCTGCGTGGCTTGCTATTATTTATAAGCCTGCCATGTTCCTTTATCATTATACATTTTGATGAAATATGAACGAGACAAGGAGGCCTCCAACGCCAAAAGCATCCCAAGCCCACGAGTGAGCCTAACGGGATGTGCCAATGTGTCTCAGAAGAGCACATTATGCACTTTAATTTGCAAACTGATGCACATCTCAGTCTCCTCCAAGCCCCATATCTCCCCCACGGCTCAGGCCTTGCTCTTCACACACTCACGCACTTCACGCTTGGCCAGATAACGCCTCCCGTTTGTGGTACAGTCATAACAAAGGTTTAGAATGTTACTGAGACGATTAGCTTGGCTTCCTGAAAGGAAGTCTCTGCCTGTCTCTGTCTCCCTCCTTCTCTCAGTGTGCATACCATATCCTGAGGGTACCTCAGCTACCATTCCTGTGTCCCTCTTTTAATTGCTCTGTTCTCACGTGCTGTGACGAAGCCATAACTTCAACGGGATACTTGAGTTGGTACAGAATAGAGCAGCTAACCAGGTAAACCAGTCCTTCACCATCTTCACTGGTTGCTGATTGAAGCCTGACTCCAATTTAAGGTGGAACCACTGGTGCAGAAATCCCTAAATGGTTTCGGCCAAACTATCTGAAATAAGGTCTCCTTCCATATATACCCGAGCAAACCCTAAGATCATCTGAGGATGTCCTTCTCCAGGAAACCTCTTTGAAAGAAGCTAGAAGAGTGGCTACTCAGAGGAGGACCTTCTTGGTGGCAGCACCCTGACAGTGCAATCAGCTTCCTAGACAGGCGCACCTGGAACCCAATTCTTTTTCATTTTGACACCAGGCCAAGACCTTTTTATGTGCCCAGCATTTTAATAGTTAGAATGCTTTTACTGTACAGTTCAATATAGGTTGTATATTGTGATTCAAGTGCTGCTGTGGTTTTAATTTGTTCTCAGAAAACGCAGCAGACACAGAGTCCCCTGCACTCTCCTCCCAGGTGAGCCAGTTTGGCCTTACCAGGGGCAGCAGAAGGTCTCGGAGCAGCACTGGGTTATGGAAACAGAAGGAAGCTGGGGCTGCAGCTCCGTGATAGGAGCACCCCAGTTTGATCCCAGGGATCTCCAGATTGGGCTGAGAAAGAATTCTGCCCGGAACACTGGACAGCCCCTGCTGTTGGCATCTCTGGGTTAGATGAACCAATTGCCCGACCCAGGGTAAGGCAGTTTTCTCTGTTCTTCCAAGACCGACTTTCAAAAAAATCATTTTCTGCATTGGAAGGGTTAAAGAACAGACACATTGTGCTGCCTTCCTCTTTCGCATTTGCATCTCTATTTACACTTTATTAAACTGAAAGTGGGGTGGGGGAGTGCTGGCAACTGGGATAAAATATCTGTACTACTCAGCCCGAGCCAAGCGACTGGCAGCAGTATTTTTAGGGCACTGAATTATTCAGAAAGCTGTGCAGATTTTGGGTAGCTTCCTTCAGTGGCAGCAGAACAAGCCCTCCTTCTCTTTGTTCATGCCCTGAGACAATTTGAAGAAATACAGAGCCAGATATTTCCCACTGGGCAGCAGGGATGAACTGACTGCTCCCTGCCAACCAGGAAATGGAATCTCTTTTCTGCCCCCCTCCCTTAAATAGACACAATTCTTACTTGTTAGAATCATTATGCTGCATCATGAAAACATTGTGCAGATGGATGTCCTAGCAAAGGAAAGAGGGGGGGGTGCTTTCTTTAAATGCGAGCCACATAACTTCTCAGCCACCCTTCTGTGATAGAACAATGCAAACATACCTTACAAGAATGTGGTTCGGATAACACGTAGGAAGGGGTGAGGATTTTGTTCAGTTTGGTTTTTTGGTAATGGCATGCTTCATGAATGGGAGTTAGATAAACCAAGATCTTAAAAGTGTGAGTGTGGGATAATGAACAACTGAAGACCCAGCCTGGCCCAGGAATCTGTCAAGATGAGCAAGGCTTTCAGGTTCACTCTTTCCCACTTCAGGCTTTTAAAATATCAAGCTCTATTTCTCCTAACTATGAACTAATTTGTGAATGTTGGAGCATTCTGATAAAAAAGGAGCTGGAATGAATGGATCCAGTACCTGTTCCAGCCAATAGGTGAGGTTTTTACCAGCTTTAAGGTGCTGGAAACAGAAGTATGTTACACAATGAGAAGATTTTCTATCTTTCTCAATTGCCTTCATGCACTGAACAGCAGAGTCTGGAGTGCAAAACCCCACGGAATCATGGGAGATGTAGTTCTCATGAGCTCGGCTTCACCTGGGACTTTGCCAAAGCCTTCAGATTGGCTCAGAGGAACAAGCTGAGAACTTCGAATACTTTCCCTGCCATATAAGCTCTCTAAGATCATTTCTCAGTTTTTCAGAGGCAAACCTGGGCAAATTCATTCTTCCTTATGTGGGCTGGTGCTCTCCAAACCTGTGAGGAGCCCGATGGAAGCGCTTTAAGGACCACATGGCCTGCCCTGTGCTATTCTGCAGATTCTTCTCTTGCATACAGAGCAGCAAGGAGAGGCCTTCAAGTGGAAGGTCTTCAAGTGGAAGGATGCAGAGGAAGTCAGAGACTCTTAACCATTTATTTGCCAGCTGCTTGCCCACTTCACCTGAAAGAGCAATCCCACCACATCTTGGGCCTCAGATACTTCAATTTCTCAGATTGAAGGTCCAAGAAAGAACTCCAGCCTCTGAATTGTGCTCCCCTTTCCCTTCCTCACAGGTGACATGAAAACTACCAGCTACTTCTCCAAGGTTGGCAGGAACTGGGAGTCAAAGGATGTCCTGCAGCACCCCACCTGCTCGGTCAGAGATGCTCATCAGCCCCTGCATTCGGGGCCTTAAGCAGTCTCTCGCACCTGTGGGACTGAATCAGAGGGGACAAGCAGGTGACGAGGGGATGAGTGAAACTTGCTTGCACACCTACAGATGCCTGCATTACCTCTCTCCTTGGGCTGAAGTCAACCTCTCTGCTTTGCAAGAGAAAGAAGCCCACCTGGGGGTGGGGTGGGGGAGGAAAGTAAACTCCATGTAGCATAGGGATGCCAGAGAAATCTGCAGAGGTTTCCAAGGAGCGCAGCGTTCTAGTCCTCTGATGCATGAATTGCACAGCTTTTCCTGAATCACGTGGATTCTGGCCAGTTATTTGCATTGTTGTTTTTCTTTTCTGGAATTTTGCACAGATATTTAAAAAACTGAAAATGTGGGCACGCGCGCGTGCACGCACACACACACACACACACACTGCACAGGCTAAAATGTGAAAATCTGCTTTTGGTTTTTTCAGGGGGTTACATCTGCAGGGGAAAGGGATTTGGTTCATCTCTGGAAGTGCAAATTTGGACAACTGCAAATTTGTGCAAGTGCAGACAAGGACAAATTTGGGGAATGGGAAAAAAATCAGATTCCATCAAAGAACGGATGGAAGAATGAAAGGCATTGAACAACCCATGAAATGCGGACCAGAATGGACTCATCAGCATTCATACATCCGTTGCATCTTGTGCACTTTGGCCTTAACAGCAAGAAAGAACGAATTATTATCTCTCAAAGGTCCAGGATCAAAGACCACAGGGATGGCTTTTATGGTTTCCAAAAACAAGGGGAAAGGAACAGTAAGAGAAGTGCATTTTAAATGTATTGCTTCCATTTGAATCCAACCCTGATTCTTTCTTCAAAAAAGCTTTTAGGGACCCAGTAAAAAGCTGGAGGGAGTGCTGGAGCCTCAGGATGAGCAAGTTTATTATTTATCAAACAGCTTGTGAAATATAGGAGTCATTCCTTTTGGCCGAGAAGTGGTTCTAAGTGCTGATGAAGTTGGGGCTAATCTAATGTTGTCCAAACCATCAGGGACAGCCAAGCTTCTTTCTGAAGTCCCCTGAAGCCAGAAGCTTCTCTGAGAGCATATAGTGCCAACTCTTTGCTTGCTTTCCCACCTATTCTTATTTTTAAAAATAATTTCTTTCCTGAGGTTTCAAGAAAAAGATATCTGGCAAGTACAGTAAAAAGAATGAGCTTTGCAAGAGGTGAGTTGCAAGATCAGAGTTCCCTGCAAAAATTTAAGGGCTCCGTGAACTAATTAACTTATCGTTTGCATTCCCTAAGCACAATTCATGGAACCCGCTAAAGCACAACAAGTACTTTTCCCTCATTCTCTACTGGAAGGATATCCTAATTTTCTTTGGCACTGTAATCATGCCTTCCACAGCAACACGACAGGCAGAAATACAACAGGTGAGCCAGACAGAAGAAACACCATCCTTTGCACCTACTGCAACTCAATGTACCAGAAATTTATTACTTACTTTTTTGCAACCGGAAATTGCCTGTTTACATCCTGAGCCCACTTTGCTGCCAGTGCTGGTTCAGAAACGGTGAGCAGCCTTTGCAGTTTCTTCCATCCCTTGTTGCAAACCTGCCCTTTGCTGGTTTCATTAGAACGCTTTCTCTGCAAGTACAAAAGCTGCATCCACCTCTATAAAGATCCATCAGCTCTTACTGACAGGAAAGGAAGTAGGAAGCATGTTTCAGGAAGTGGAGGACAAGACTGGAGGATATCTGGGTAGGTGAAAGCTGACAAAATGCATTCAGGTGAAGTAGAATGTGTCTGTGAGTGAGAGACAGACAGAGAGATTCAGATTAACTCTTCCACTTGAACAAAAAAAAAAACTAGCATTAGTTTGACTTGGGATCAGTTTTGACCCCAGAAAAACTGGAGGTCAGACTGCCTCAAGCAAGAAAAATGCTGCCTATGAGAAGCCCCTGCCCCCCCAGTTTTAATCAACATAAGAATGACTATCAGCAAGTACAGTAATTTAATCCCTTCTGATACTGTGTAAAATGAGAAAATGGCATAACAAATACTTGATCACTGGCTTTTGCAATGTGTAATAATAATGTAGCCTATTAATTAGCTAAGAACCTCAGGTTTAAAAAGAGACCAAGATTATCTGTATGGCTACTTCTTTGCTCAGGTGTATTGCATGGTGCATGTTTTCTTGTGATTGTCCTTTTTTCCCTCCTAAAAGTGTAGAGGTCTTTTTTCTAGCAGGGCCTTTGTCCCCAAACAACAGGAACTGTTGCATTAAAAATCAAGCCCATACCTTTCTGGACTAGCAGTGGCTGGCAGGGTCCATTCCAGTATCACTGGAGTGGTATATTCACTCTGGCTCACAGTCTGAGCTTTTAAGGAGTTTTCCATGTCCCTGGATCTACTTTGGGGATTGGATCCCAACCCTTTAAAGTTCAGACCCAAACCCAGAATGGATGATCTACCCCACCGCCTTGGAGGGAACCAGCTGCCCCTTGCAATTGTTAAAATCACAGAGAATGTTCCAACCATGCTGCAGGGAAACTTGGGCCTTCTCAGAAACCTTATCAACTGGGGGAAGGAAAAGTAATTGTGAGTAAGCCCAGGCTCTTATTCTGGGCTGGTTCAGAGAGGCTGAGCTGGTTCTCGACCAGGGATGAAACCGAAGGAGGCAGTGAGCTAAGTGGTTGGAGGGATTGTACTTTACTGGCTGTTAAAAAAGAGGAGGACATGCTTCAAGTGAGATGACAGAGGACACAGAGTTGAATATGAGTAGAGGCAGACATGGGAAATAATTACTATAATTTAGAGACTGGTAACAAGCAGCCCTTACCATGACATGATGCTAAAAAGCAAACCAGAAAATCATGCTCTGTATCAGAGACAGAACATGGAAATGCACCAATTTAGCTTGCAAACAAGCAAAATATCTCCACCTCAGGACCATTGAAAAGTATGGAGCAGTTTGGAGCTGCCAGTGAGCTGCAGGTGGTGTTTTGATTTTATCTCCCACATCTGGGCATGGCCTGCTGGGGAAAGGGATGGGGGAAGTGCCCCCGGACCTCCCTCCGTTGCCCACCCATGGCTTAAATAGAAATCCATCTTACCATGGTGAGGAAGACTCTGGTGATGTGGCATCATGCCAGCTCAGACTGCGTTCAAGGAGCAATTGATCGGCCCCTCAAGGCCCCACCCTGTTCTTCCTCTTTCTGTCTCTTTTTCTCGAAATCAGAGCTAGACCACCGTTCCTTCAAACAGAGGATCATCATCTGGCAGCCATTCCAACAGAGGACTCTCCCTGTAAAGAAAGACGCTGGCCACCTTAACCTTTACCCGCACGAAGCCTCTGGAGTGCTAAGATCATTGCTGGAAGCGATTGCCCAACTTCCCCTCATCTGAGGTGAGATGGATGGGGAAAGGGAGAAAGCTCTTCTCCGCCGGGTTATTCTTGCTGTGGAGAGCTGCTCTTTTTGGCTTATTTTTTAATGTTGCTTGCGTTTTGAAAATTCCACCTCTCTGAAATCAGTGGACTGAACAAAAGAGAAGCATGGATGAAAAGAGACATGAGTAGGCTGCCTGAAGTAAATCCCATTGAGATCAGCAGAACATCTGGGTAAGCGTGAAGCAGGATCCAGTGGGGCGCTTCTGTCCCTGCTGCTTCTCTCTCCACCCCACTGCTTCTGCTGCCCAGGCAGCCCTGCCACTTGTGCGATGGCAATTCAGCATTCCCCAGGCAATCCAAAATGGGAAGAAATGCCCATCTGAGGAAGGAGGGGGGCTGGGAAGCTCATGTGTGGAAGCTCCACCAACCTGCTTCGTTCCTGAAACAAGCATTTCCACTTACGTCACATCTTTTTCTAGGAAACTCTCAGTCTTCCTAGGCTAAACAGTGGGTCTCCATTGCACAACAGGATAGCCAGGGGTCAATGCTTGCAAGAGCGAATTGGCAGGGGAGAACATCCTGTTGGATCATGGCCATGGATAGGCTCATCATAGAACTGTAGAGCTGGAAAGGGTCAGGAAGGCCATCAGGTCCAACCCCCTGCTGTCGCAGGTCACCGGTTTACACCCTCCCACTCAGAGGGCTGTCCAGTTTCTTTCTGGTCTCCAGTGTGGGAGCGCCACCACCTCTCCAGGCAGCTGGTTCCACTGTCATACTGCTCTGACAGTGAGGAAACTTCCTTATAAATAGCCTGAATCTGGGTTGTCACAACTTGAGTTGATTATTCCGTGTCCTACACTCTGGCATCAGCAAGAGAGCTTGACCTTCCTTTTTGTGACAGCCTTTGAGGTACCAATAGAGGGATATCATGTCCCCTCTCCGTCTTCCCTTCTCAAGGTTGAACGTGCCCAGTTCTCTCAGTTTCCCCTCACAGGGCAGTGTTTCCGAACCCTGGATCATTTCTGTTGCCCTCCTCTGTCCCCTTTCCAAGTTTTCTGCATCTTTCTTAAGATGCATCTTTCTCTGCGTCTTGGTGCCCAGAGCTGGACACAGTATTCCAGATGAGGTCTGACTAATGAGGAGCATGGGTAAATTACTACCTCTCGTGATTGGAAGTAATGCTTCCGTTAATGCATCCCAAAATAGCATTTGCCCTTTTTGCAGCTGCATCACATTTTTTGTTCATATTTAGCCTGTTCTCCACAATAGCTCCTAGGTCTTTTTCTTTGTCAGTTCTGTTGAGCCAAGCATTCCCCATCTTGTATCGATGTATTTGGTTTCCTTGTCGTAGGTGGAAAACACGACATTTGTCCCTATTGCATCTCATTCTGTTGCTTTCAGCCCAGCTCAAGATCACTCTGCATCTTCATTCAGTTTTCTAGGGTGCTCACTATTCCATCCAGTTTTGTATTGTTTACAAAACTGATGATTGTTCCGTGTACTTCCTCATCCAGATCATTAATAAAAATGCTGAAGAGAACTGGGCCCAGGACTGAACCCTGTAGCACCCCACTAGTTACCCCCATCCAGTTTGAGAAGGTGCCATTGGTGAGCAGCCTTTGTGTCCGATTTAGCAGCCAGTTTTGGGTCCACCTAATAGTTGTTCTATCTAGTCCAGTTTTTGCTAATTTTCTTATCAGAATGTTGTGGGGCACTATGTTGAAAGCTGAGGTAGATTACGTTCACATGTCCCCTCTGTCCATTTGGGATGTTATCCAGTCAAAAAATGAGATTAAACTACTCTGACAGGATTTATTCTTGATAAATCCATGTTGGCTTTGATCAATCGCTGCATTTTCTTTGAGCTGCTTGGAGACCGATTTGCTTCAGAATTTTTCCAGGGATTGATATCAGAAAAACTGGTCTGTATTTCCCAGGTTCATCTTTTTTCCACTTTTTGAAGACGTTAGCCCTTCTCCAGTTGTCTGTTACTTCTCCTGTTTTCCAGGATTTATTGATTAGGTTTTGTGTTTAGCATTCTTACAGTCTCTCATTTCTCAACTGATTTCCTAAATTTTTGATCAAGGCAACAGAATTGGAGGGAATCCTTGGAGGACCAGACTGTGAGATCAAAAGGACCGATTAATGTCATCTTGCCCAGTTATCCGCAAGTTCCCTGTTGTATTATACTTGGCTCTCCGTCCAGCTGAGTTTGAAATATCCCAAATTGCAGGGCTTCAAGATCATCCACTCCCCTTGGGGATTGTCTTCCAAAGGCTAACAGAACACCCTGCCATGAAGTTTAAGGTTTAACTTGACACGCCGATGTACAGGAAGCTCCTCCCTCTCTCGCTTTCTAAGCGGCATCATGTTGTTCGCGGCGGCCAGTCCTTTGCTGCCCTAAATAATTTAGGTGATCTCAGCACCTTCAGGCCTCACCTGTCTGATTACAGCTCATAAACTGCAGCTTGATAAATAGCCCTGTTTGCATGACGGAGGCAAAGAAAGAGAGAAGCCGGATAGTCCTGTCCTGGTCGCAAACCCTGAAATGGGGAAATCACTGAAATGGAACAAGGAGACGGATGCAAAGAGCACCCCCAAACATCTGGCAACATTAGAGTGAAAGCTGAATCCCCCAAAAGGGAAGCACACACCTCAGCAAACAAGCTCGGAGAACTCCAGGTTTGACTTCTCCTTGGGGTGTCTCTTAAGATGTGAGCCGTGAGCCTCTCCCATGATTATGGGACAGGTGGGTGTCCACCGCTCTGAGCCAAGAAGATGCAACATGGACAAGTGACCAGAATGGGAGCAGTTTCGTACCATGGTCAGCACAGAATGCCCCAGCCCCAGAAGGGGATCGTTTCAGGACCATGGACAGCGCTGCCGCAGTGCCTGGCCAGGAATGGGATCTTGGCGTTATGGTGGACAGCCGACGGAAAGGTTGCTGTAGCGTGTGCCTGCTGGGAAAAGGGCAATTGCCATGTGACACTTTACCTACTTATTCCATTTCTATGCCTCCCGTACCCAAAGCTACCGAAGGGAATTGAGAATAAAAGTGCAGACATCATACATATGCAAATCTTTGGTGTGACCGCACTTAGAATATTGTGTGCAGTTCTGGTTGCTGCACCTGAAAAAAGGATATTATATTATAGAGCAGGAAGGACCATGAAGATGATCAAGGGGTTTGAGCAACTCCCCTGGAAGGAAAGGTTGCGATACGTGGAGCTGTTTAGCTTAGGAAGCAGGCACTTCAGGGGAGGCATGGCAGAGGCGCTTGGAATTGGGTGGGAGATAAAAGAAAGCACTTGACACAGTGCACAGTTATGTAATTCACGGCCGTGGAAGCAGTAATGGACCTGTATTTGGACAGCTTTAAACAGGGTCTGGGCACATTCGTGCAGGAGAAGACGCTTATGGCTACTAGTCCTGATGGCTCTATGCTTATGTTACCAGAAGAGGATGCCCCCTGTACACCAGTTGCTGTGGGGCTTGGGTGGGAAGGGGCTCATATCTTGCTTGGGGGAGCCTGTGGGCAGCTGGTTTGCCAATGCGTGAAGAAAATACTGGGCTAGGTGGACCCAGCTGGGTTCTTTGTATGTTCTAAACAGTACTGGCAAGTAACCACCCTCCAGCATTAACTTAAAACAACCGGCAGGGATTTTTAACCAGCTCAGAAGGGCCATTCTTGGTGCTTTAGCTCTGCACATACTGGGTTGGTTGGTTTGTTTTTAAGGGCCAGTGCTCATTCCCAGAGGAGTGAGGGTCTGGGAAGTCAGAGGTGCTTGGGGAATGCTTCCCAGGACCCCCTTTCTCAGTGGAGGAGGGGCTTGAGCACCATTCCTTTGAACGAGAGAGCAGTAATATCTCCTGAAGGACTGAGTGGACAGGATGCAGGGCCTAAACTGTGTGGGATTCCCCTTGGGAGGAATCCTCTTCAGACAGCAACTTGAAGCTTTCTGAGCTGGACATCCCTGGGGAACCATGCTTCAGAGATGCTGGAGAAGCACCTTCAAGAGAACTTCAGATCTTCCCTCTCGAGGTGTGAGGAGACCTTGTTCCAAGACAAAGAAGGATGCTAGGCTCCACCATGGATATTCATGTCCATGTCTATGCAGACTCATGAATAAGTGTTCTTTGATGAACATGATGCATTCCAAATTAGGCTTTCTGT